TTCCCTTTGAATTCTTGGTGTGCCCCATGTTTACCTCTTTGGCTAGCTGTAGTGGGAGGATAAGATACCTGAGGTAGCGTATATTTCAACAAAATGTGGATAGAGTAGATAGGGTCCCTTTTAGTAGAAACTTCCTAAAATGTTTTAAGTCACTGGGAAGGATCTGAGTCCTGCTACCCTTTTTTGTCATTTTTTTATGATGCTGCCAAGAAGTGTACCATAACATTCTTAGAAAAGATGATTTGATTTTCTGCAAATCCATCAGTAATGAAGCTGCAGGCTAGACTGTAAATATTGAGAGATCCCAAAACAGTGCTACTAATTTACTGATATCCTGTTGGCCAACTTATTTTAATACCATTGTCTCTTTTAATTGTGAGTAGAGAACTTGTTGTCTCGGGGGTAAGTAAATTCTTTGGAGCCATGTCTCTGGAGCATCCCCATACTCTGAAGGTCCACAGATTTCCTGCTTACAGCAGTTCCTTGTGCTTCCTTTCAGGAGGCAGGAATGATCCTCTTCCAGCCCAGGGAGTATTGGAGCTATGGGCTGAAGATATAAGATTAACAGCATTAACAGGCATCCCCAGAATGATGACATCTGGATTTGGTAGAACAATAAGGATCCATTTAGTGAGGACTCAAATCTTTTTGGAAAAAGCTCTTTTCTCTTCAACTTGTGTATAGGTTAGCAACTCGTTTTTAGATCCAAAGAGTACTTTGGTTAGGTAGATAACATTTTGCATGCTTAACAATCATGTTTCTCAAATTTAAGTGATTAGGTTTTCTAAGCCTACTAGGATAGGATTTAACTTATCCTACCACTTGCTCTCACTTTAAGCAGAGGGAAGACCTTTGAGCTTGTCAGAATTTAGTTTATTTCTCAAGAGTAAGGTAATAATGTATATGGGGAGATGACTTGCCATATTTAGATTAGTACCTGTCTTCTGAGTACACACTGTTCTGGCTGATTGAAAGTGGCATCTGTGTGTATCATTGTAAATTGCTGTAGGTGTCTTTGGGGAAAAGAACTTTCCCACAGTAGGTATATTGATAACCTACTATATAATAGGAGATTCTCTGTTGACTGGGAGAATAGAGATCATTTGGGATAGTTTTTTCTTAGTTTTTCTGGGGGAATTGAAATTTTTAAAAAATAGACAAATAACACTTTTTAATTATTTTATTTATCTCTTATTATTTTTTCATTTGACCAGAGACACAGAGAGAGAGAAAGAGAGAGAGAGGAGAGAAAGAGAAAGTGAGAAAGCAAGCCACCAGGTCTGGGGTGTGAACTGCGGTGGGCCATGTGGGAGTCCAGTGCTCTTAACCACCATGGCACCTGTTGGCCCCGGGAATTGAAATTTAAAAAAAAAAAATTTTCCTTTTTCTATATTACTGTTATGTTTTAAGGAAGGAGAGGTTTATACTTACTTTGATTACAAGCAGTAATTGTAATCTGATTGTGAAAGAACACCATCAGATTTTAGAGTAATGGACATAGCTAAATGTTTAAAAAACATTTCCAGAGTAGGGAGAATAAAGTTATTTACCTACTTTAAAACTGGCATTTATTTTATAAAATATTTTCTATTATCCATTCATTCTTTTCAGTTTCTGTTTATTGTGGATTTTAATTTTCTTTTCTTTTTATGTGGGGGAGGTTACCATGGGAGGTGGTGGTGGAGAATGTTACTTAATTTTTCTATAAGCCTGAAGTGATTCTGTGGATCTTTTCAGTATTGTGTGATTTTCAGATATAGGGCTCCAAAGAATGGGCATATATCCAGTTGACATTTTATTTTCTCACACTGTATATGTTAGCTATGTTGGTTAAAAGAGGAGTCTAGGTAAGAAACAATACAATAATAACCTTTTTATTTTTAATATACTAATAACTTTACTTATATTTTTAGGAAAGAATATTTGTTATTTGACAGTGATAAATTGTCACACTTGATTCTGGTAAGAACTGTTTTTATTTCATGGCTCCTAAAAATATTGTCTATGTTTATTAATTATTATGTCTATAACTCTTGGGTTGGATAGGAGATTTTTTTTAAGGTTTTTGCCACAGGTCATGGGCATTCACTGGAGAGAGAGACAGTAAAAGGGAAAGTGAGAAATCACCCCCTGGGAGGATGGCCACTCTACAGTCCTCTCCTCCTCTCCTCCCCTCCCTCCCCTCTCCTTGGGATTTTAGGAGCACACACATGTGATTTTCAAGCTGCCAGATTTGGACTCAAACCACAGTTGGCAGTGTGGGAATGCAGCACCTCAACCACTGTGCTGCCTGCTGGCCCCAGGAGATTTAAATATAGATATTCTTATCAGATGTTCTGTTAAACAGCAACTTAATTTGCTACTTAAAAAAAAAAGAATTATGTAATTTTATTTTTTATTATTATTACTTTTTAAAGTTTTTCTGTAGGGCATGCGTGCTCATGAGAGAGACAGAGAGAGAGAGAGAGAGAGAAGGAAAGTGAGAAAGCAAGCCACCAGGTCCAGGAGTCAAACCGTGGTCAGCCATGTAGGAGTCCAGAGCCTTCACCACCACACCACTTGCTGGCCCCAATTTGCTACTTTTGATTACAAAGTATTTGGTTATGAAGCTGGGTTTAGAGTCCAAACTTTGTCTCCTAGTAGAATGCGTTATAAAATAGCAAATTTATATTTGAAAATAGTTCAGATGGTGGGAGTGGGACAGTTGGTTATATAGGTACAGATCTAATGCAGACTCCATGTGGATATATTCTGGTTACCTTTAAGCTGAGTTTAAAAAGTTTGTGGTTCTGAAAGCTATTCTTTATTTTAAAATACAGGATTCTAGTAGCAGTATATGTGATTTGAATGCCAACACTGAATCAGATGTGCCAGGAGATCAAAGTGTTGGTGTCCAAGGGGAAGCAGCGTGCGTCCAAATTCCACATTTAGATCTGAAGAATATTTCTGATGATGATATATGGGAAGGTAATTTTACCCTCTTGCATATATTTCTGGTAAATGTTATCTGTAAATGAAATTACCTAAAGCAGAAATGAGACTTCTCTCCTTTTCTGGACAATTGTTTTCATTGATCTTCCATTCTCCCTACCATATAAGATGAGTGAGAGACTGTTTTTACTCAGATATACTAATGAGAATATGGTAGATACCTTATATAAACAAAGTTTCTTATCTGACCCATTAGCTTTGAAATGAATGTTAGAAGTGATATAAAAAGTGAAGTCACCCAGGATAAGCATTTGTTAATTGTCAAACCAGATGCCGTCTACCAGTCTTTGAAAGTCCAGTGTGTTAGGGCTTGGGAAGCTCACCAGTTTAGGCAGGGCTTATAGCTACAAGAGAGGATTTATAGCTACCTTTGATCATAACTATGATCACCAAGATTATTGTTCTCCCCCAATAATCCTTCAAGGACATTTTAAAGTGAATAATTGTACCATATCCTAGTACCATATCCCAGAATTAGGTTGTGAAGGTATGGGTGTGTCCTAACAGTCTGCACAAGAGAAGTTTAACAAGTAACATAGTATTTGCATTTCTTGAAATTTTGCAAATGTACACTTTAGATACATAGTTTTCTTTTTACATCAGAAGGATCAAAACTGAAAAAAAAAGATAAAAAATTATCAGAGAATGATTTGTGTATGGGAATGTTTACAAGGAAGTATACCATTTACTTTGAAATCCTTGATGAAAAAGGTGTTTACAGCAAGTAAAATGTTAATGGTAGAATCTAGGTGACTGGTGTATAGGTGTTCACTATAAATTTCTTTCAGAGTTGTTGTATATTATTAAACTTTGAAATAAAATGTTGGAGGGGTGGGAATAAGCAACAAATTTGGATCCAGGAGTTCTTATGGATCATATATCTTTGCTAGATAGAGATAGTAAGACAATTTGGGTATCTTAAGTAGAGTTATGTACTTGTTCACTTGGATGAAGATCCCTGGGTTGTGTCACCTTTGGCAAGTTATCTGATGATGTATAGTGACAGTAACATGAGGAATTGCAGTGCCCTTGAGTGTTAGGGACTCCTTTGCTGCTACTATAAGTCTATTGACTTTATTACAGTTGGAGTGTATTGGTTTTGTTTTCAGATTTTATTTTTAAGATCAAGGCAGGTTTTTTTTGTTTGTTTTTGTTTTTTGTTTTTGTTTTTGTTTTTTTAGTGAGAGGTTTTTGCTATAGGATATGTGTGCTTGCTGGAGAGACAGACAAAAAGCGAGAAATCAACCCTCAAGGGGATGGCCATGCCATAGTCCCTTCTTCTCCATTCTCCTCTCAGGATTTTGGGCAGGCACACAGATGCACCCGCGTGAGTTTGAAGCCACCGGGTCTGGGACTTGAACCATGATCCGCCATTGTGGGAGTCCAGCAGTGTAAAATTATCCAATCTGCTCGTTCTGAGACCTATAGAAGTTTTTAAAGCTCCAACCAAGTCGTTCTCTGGGCCAGTGTTTATCGTTGTCTCTCTACTCTACCCACTCCCCCATATTTTTAGGCCTAGATGTTTCGTATGCCTGGTGGCATATTATGTGTCTTAGACTAAATCAGAAAGTTGTCTTTTATTTGCTTTGTCTGGGTTATTCAGGAATTTCTGAAGATATTCCCCAGAGATAGAAGATATGTGAGCCTACAGGTAGCAGTGAAGATCAAATGTCCTTTTTAGTTATTTTTTGTGACATAATCACTGACAAAGAGTGGTGGTCAATAGGCTGCCTTGGAGCCTTGGTAGGAAGGAAGTTTCTGAAAGATGAAACTGGGATTCTCATAAAGCACTTTTGTTGGTGTTGCTTCTTAGAAGATGCAGATAGTTTTTTTTTTTCTTTTCCTTTTTTAAAACATTCTATTTTTAAATGTATTTATTAATATCTGTTGTGATTTTCAAGCTGCCTGGTCCAGGACTCAAACTGTGATCGAACATGTGGGAATCCAGTGCCCCAACTACCATACCACCTGCCTGCTGATAAATATTCTTAATGATCTTTGGCCTGGGGTTCCTAATGCTAAGTTTTAAGCATAGAAGAGCAATTATTTTTTGTAGTCTAAGATTGAACTTTCTAGCTTCAGCTTTCTGTAGGCTCCTCCAGGAAACCTGATACTGAGCTGTCTTTTTTTTTTTTCCCTCATCAAAATCAAACACCTACAGCTCCTTACAGGAAAAGGAGATAACCTATAGACTACTGACCTGTTATTTTCCGTGCTTGAGCTGCCCTATTATCACCTGGCTTAACAGTTGTGACAGGTCCCTGTAGGCCTCCTGCTGGCTCTTCCAGGATTAGGAGGCAGTGACTTTCAGAAAGCCAAAGGTAGTAGACAGCCGAGTGAACTTCCTAGCCATGAACTACGCATGTGCAGGAGACAGTGGCTACTGGTAGACCACGTGTGTCCTTACATCTTTGACACCATTATGATGATTTACTTTCTGCAGTTAGGAGTTAGGATATTCTAAGTAACAAAGTTTTTCTTAAGAGATCAAGCTGCTCTAGACACTGAATACCTTGGAATTAAAGATATACCTTGCTTGACATGACTCGCTGGGGAAGTGGAGGTGATTCCAAGTAGAGTCACAAATTGCTAGGTATGAAATTTTTTATTTTGTTATGCCTGAAAAATAGCTGGTAGCACATGACTACCATCAGTGTGAATTTATAGCAGCTGTTCAAAAAGTCTAGGGTTTTAATGGAAATGGACACACCATCTTTCTTTCAGATTCTCTCTCTCTAATTCTAGAACGACATAATAATAGGATCTTTTCAGGGATCAAACTAACAGTTTTTTTCTTTTTTTTCTTTCAAAATCAGTTACACTGAAAAGCTTCAAGGTTAAGAGTTACCGTTTCCTTAGTTTCATGTTTAAGTTTTAATAAAATAGCACTACTTTGATTTTTTTTTCTTTGCCTTGCTTGCTGAAATGGAAATGTTTGTGTTTGTTAACGTTTGGAAAGTTAGAAATTTCTTCGAATAAAGTTTTTGAGCAGAATGTCAACTGATTTTAGGGATATGTTTTTGGTATCTTTGGCTTTGTGTTAGTTATGTGTATGGTTTGTTCTGACTGTGCTGTGTGTTCACTTTAGTATTTTTTGCCATTTTTTTCCATTTTATTAGCGTCATGCCCTATCACTTTTCCCCTCATTGATTTCAAAACAATGCATCTGCAGAGAGATGGGGAGGGTAAGTATGGTTCACCATAGTTTAGTGTTTTTGCCGTTTAATGGTTCACTTTGTCTTTTTATTAGCCCTTCTCCTGTTGTCCCCATATCTTAGGAAAACTGTTCTGGGTTTAAAAACCATATCCAGAAAAGTTTTTTGTTACTTTCCTGTTTTCTTAAAACACACAATTTCTCATAAGATGTTTATTACCAATTACTAAATTGTTGGGACACAGGTACAAGGGTTGCTTTGAAAACCACTTTATCATTGGGTTTCTTATGGGATTGCACGCTTTGTACTCAGTTGTCAGAGTGATCCGGGCTTCAGAAACAATTTTCTTTTTACCCTGGAAAAAAAAGATAATGCTTTAGATTATCTATGCATAAATTCAACCCAAATTACCAAAGCAGCAATCCTTAGCTATTGTGTGAAGACAAAACTTTACTCTTGAATTTTGACATTGTCAAGCCATCTTTGCATTGTGAATAGCCATAGCATCAAAGTGTTTAAATTGAGTTGTGAATTAAGCTAATGTGGAGGTGGGAAAGTTTTCCTTCCCACTCTTGTACTCCAGTGATGCTTAAAGCTAATTTTGCACTTGGGGTTATTTCTGGATTGTATATATGACGTGTATTTGTTCTGTATGTAATCAGACCTTATATGTGCAGAGACATCAAGTATAACTTGATTTCATGTGAGAATATATCGGATAACTCCAATAAAATACATTTTCTTATAAAGGACTAGTGCTATTAAATTTTGCTTTGATAAGTGGGATATTTAATTATAAAATATATGCTATGTATAGGATCTTATAACAGAAAATAACTACCACAGGTTTTTATTTTATTTTTTTAGATTTTGACATAGGGAGTGTGCGCTCACTAGAGACTGAGAGAGAGTGAGAAATCACTACCCCTCACCCCAGCCCCAGGGCATTGGCCCACTGCAATTCCTTCTCCATTCTCCTCCTGGGATTTTGGGCATTCTCACACATGTGCCTGGCATGATTTCCAAGCACCAGGTCTGGGACTTGAACCATAATCGGCCATGTGGGAGTCTAGCATCCCAACCACTACGCCACCTGCTGCCCCCGCCCTTCCTCCCAACCCCCAGTTTGTTTTAAAGGCTAGGTGCTGTCAGATGAGTTAGCTGATTTGGAAATGTTTGCATCTCTCTGGAGTTCTAGGGCCTCATTTGCTAAGTGTTTTTTGAAGCCACAGAGAAAAGCTCCCACATCTTAACATAGATCCTTGAAAGTGAGGGACCATTCATACCCTTGGCAGCATTTGCCTTTTCATTTCAATTCTTAACAAAGGACCAGGATATTTGCCTATTTCTAAATAAAGACCTTTCTCTACTTGAGAGTAACTTTTTTTTTTAAGCCCAGCCATGGTAAAGTATTCTGAATGCTACTTTTCCTCAGGCTGAGGTCAATGGGAAGCCTTCATTTGATTCCTGGTCCACCCTAAAAAGCCATGCATAGTTGTGCCTGCTTCTAAGTTCTACCTCCTCTGGAGGCTGAGGCAGAAAAATTACAACACAGTGAGACTGTCTAAAATAATACCATGCTTGCAGGTCTGGTAGCACACACATGTATACACAATAACATTTTTCTATATAGTATTTTTAGAATATTAAAAATGATTTACCTTTTAGAATTAAATTACCTTTAAAAGAGCTTGACAGTGTCTTTTCTTGCTTTGCCACTGGGCTCAGAAATTTAAGGTGTAACTCTTTACATGAAAATAGAATTCTGGGCTAACAAAATGAAACTCGAATACTTTTAAACTATAATAGGGCTTTATGAAGATCCTAATATCTCTTGTTTTACTTTTTCAAATGTTTATGATATGATGTAAAGAACGTAATATAGTAGATACTTTGTGACTTTTTTCCATGTGGAGTCAAGTATATACTATTCTTTGTGTTTGTTTTACAGAGCCATTTCCTGCTTTTAAGTCTTGGCAGGAAGACTCTGAGTCTGGAGAAGCTCAGCTGTCTCCACAAGCTGGAAGAATGAATCATCATCCCCTGGAAGAGGACTGTCCCCCAATATTATCACACCGCAGTTTAGATTTTGGGCAAAGCCAACGTTTCCTACATGATCCAGAAACTTTGGATTCCTCATCTAAAGCACTTTCTTTTACTAGGTATATGTTTTTTATGTACTTATGAGAGGCAGTGTCTATTACATACCAAGTCCTCTGAGAGACTTTGTGTTTCAGACCTGTAATTCAAAGCTTCCTCCCCATTCACGAAGCATGTTTCCTTAGCTCTTTTTTTTTTTGCAGCGGGGGGCGGGGGGTGGTTGCTATTAAATTCAGAGTCTATTGAAGTGTAGTGGTTGGGGTTTGCATGCAAATAGATATTTCATCCTGGCGTATTCGTTCATGGTTGGAGTATTGACCTCTGAAACAAAACTTTGGATTCCTCATCTAAAGCACTTTCTTTTACTAGGTATATGTTTTTTATGTACTTATGAGAGGCAGTGTCTATTACATACCAAGTCCTCTGAGAGACTTTGTGTTTCAGACCTGTAATTCAAAGCTTCCTCCCCATTCACGAAGCATGTTTCCTTAGCTCTTTTTTTTTGCAGCGGGGGGCGGGGGGTGGTTGCTATTAAATTCAGAGTCTATTGAAGTGTAGTGGTTGGGGTTTGCATGCAAATAGATATTTCATCCTGGCGTATTCGTTCATGGTTGGAGTATTGACCTCTGAAACACAAGCAGCAAGTAGAGCTGACTGGTACCTTAATGTTTTTGTTGCAACTTTACATTTTGAATGTCATAAACTTTCCTTTGCAGTTTGAACATTTAACTTTTCTGAACTGCTAGGTACCTGTGCTTTTGTTTGAACAAATTTTTTAAGTGATCCTAAACTGTTCCCTTCACCACTTAGTTAGCTAATTCTGTGGTTTGTCTCAGTGTAGTTTTATTTATTTATTTATTTTTACTACTTGTCCTGTAGTGTTAGGAACTTGAACTTCACCTTAAAAAATGTACTTATTGAGTAGTATTTCGTAAAGGTGATGAGAGATAGGTGGTATCATGACTGGAAGGTTAACTAAGGCACAGTGTTGGGCTTTTGTTTTAATTGAGGATACGAAGATCATCCTTTAGTTCAAAAGATGATAAAAGAGAAGACAGAACACCTTATCAGTTGGTCAAGAAACTTCAGAAAAAAATCAGACAATTTGAAGAACAGTTTGAAAGGGAAAGAAATAGCAAGGTAAGTTTGTAGCATTGCTCAGAGTAAGCTAGATTTAACATCAGAACTGGGAGGCGAGTCTTTGGAGAGCATTAGTCCAGTTTGATCCCAAGAGAGGTGATGATTCTGAGATGCCCAGAGAAATAGTGATTGTATGAATCTGAGATTGTATAAATCCTTATCCTCCAGGTTTTCAGGCCAGTATTCTTATGATTGTACCATTTCTTCTTTCTTTTTTTTTCTTTATGATACAACGTGTGCATCGGTACATGAGAAAGAGGGAGAGAGATGAGTCATCTCTACAGGGTCTGGTCATGCTGCAGTCCCCTTCCTGCCGTCTTCTAGCCCATTGGACTTGAGAGATTCCCAGGTGTACCCAGCATTGTTTCAGGCTGATAGGACCAGAGATTGAAATCACAGTTGGCATGTGGGATCTGGTTTCTCTTGAGCAGTTCATTACCACAGCCTGCCATTACATTTTGTATTTACATTGGCAAAACAGCTTTTAGATTTTAGACTTTTGACAAAGGGAGCGTGTGCTCGCCAAAGAGAGACCAGAAAGGGAAAGTGAGAAATTGTCCCCTTGGGGAATGACCAACACCCCTACCCCCCCGGCAGGCCTTCTCTATTCTCCTCTTGGGATTTTGGGTATAAACATGCATGCACCTAGCATGATTTTCAAGTTACCGGTTCCAGGATCTGAAATATGGTTAGCCATGTGGAAATCCAATACCTAACCACCACACCACCTGCTGGTCCCTGGCTTTTAGAATTTTTAAAGCAAGTATTTACATCAGCAAAAGCATGTTACTGATATTTCTGCTTCTTCAGAAACCGGAAGTACTATGTTGGCTTCATATTGTTGTGGTTACGTGCTGTTACGAGGGACCAGTATCCCATGTGGCTGAATGAGGTTTGAATCCTGGCCCTGATGGCTTGAAAAATATGCTGGGCACATGTGCATGAGTCCAGGATCCTGACAGGATGGAGAAATGGAGGAAAAAGGATTGCAGTGTGACAGGACTTTTAAGAGTTTGCTTGTGTTTTCTTCTCTCTCATGCGTGTGCCCTGTGGCATTTAAAAAAAAAAAAGGACAAAAATGAGTAACCAAATAACAAAACCATGAGTACCAAAACAAGAGATTGGCAAATGAGTGAAGGAAGAAGGGAAGGAAAGGAGTGTAGTAAAGGAGAGCAAGAGAGAGAAAGATTGATTGATTGATTTAATAATTAGAACATGTGAAGTGGAAAAATTTATAATACTCTCAGAGTCAGAAGTCCCATATTCAAGTATGGCTTCTGCCAGTTAGTAGACCCTGCTGTAGGAGAGCTTTTAATGACCTGCCCTATCTAGTTAAGATAAGGTGAAATGAAGATTAAATGAAATCTTTGCTGTGGAAATTGAAATGCTGTTTGGGCATAAATTTATATTGCTTACCACATAAGTGTCAATGATTCTGCGCCTTAATGTTTCAGCCTTCTTACAGTGATATTGCAGCCAATCCAAAGGTATTAAAGTGGATGACAGAGCTTACCAAACTGCGGAAGCAAATTAAAGGTATAAGACATGCCATTTTGTAAAGTAATTGTATTTATGTAATGTTCTTTGTAATAATGTCCGTGAGAATTATAGTTTTTTTTTTTTTTTTTTTTTTTTTGGTAGTTTTTTACATC